TCTTCTCGTCTGACTCGCAGCTCTCTTAATAATTACGTTGTAGTTCTTTTGCTATTTGCTGCCAATGTGACGTTTCTAATGTTGTAAGCTGGACCGTGGTGCACAGACTCTGTCATAGCTCTGGCCTCCATTCCCATGAAGGCCCCTCTTGATGAGGTGCAGCTCAAACATCTGTTGGTGTGCTGTCAGGCGGCTCAGCTTTGTAGGAGCATCCACAGCACTTCAGAAACAGTTAATGCATCGTGGCGTTTTTGTTACGCTAAATATTCAGAAGTACTCGGATCTCCAGGGAGACCAGCCTGCACTCAGAGGCACCTGTGATGTCATGTCCTCCCTCCTCCTCAGACTCTGGACTTTGAGACCAAGACCAGCTACGCTTTACGCGTCGAGGCATCCAATCGCTACATGGACACCCGCTTTCTGTCAGCTGGGCCGTTCAGCGACGTGGCGACAGTCCGGCTGCAGGTGGAGGACGTGAACGAGCCTCCGTGTTTTTCCCCCCGCATCAGCCAGATGGCGGTTTCAGAGGCAGCGCCAGTGGGAACTGAGGTGGGATCGGTTTCAGCTCACGACCCCGACGCCTCAAATTGTCCCATCAGGTAAGATGCGAGGCGGTAAAATCACTGCAAACACATTTCCACCAAAACGCAAAGACAACACCTGTGCTCCTCTGCAGGTACGCCATCGACAGGAAGTCGGACGTGGAGAACTACTTTGACATTGACAGACAATCAGGCGTGATCCGGACGAGCAGACGTCTGGACAGAGAGCTGAGCGCTCTGCACAACATCACTGTGCTCGCCACAGAGAGCTGTAAGTCACATGACATCAGTTTGTCTTCTTGCGAGCAGCAGGTGTATCTGACAGGTGTGTCTGTCTCAGTGGATCACTCTCAGGTGGGCAAAGCCGTGGTTCTGGTCTCTGTGACAGACGTCAATGACAACGCTCCGAGCTTTCCCGTCAAGTACCAGACATCCGTCTGTGAGGACGCCCAGCCGGGACAGGTGAGGCTCACTTGTGGCTTACAGACAGGTGTTCACAGAAAGGTGAGCGAGTGAGCAGAAGGCGAGTGAGCAGGTGTGTAGACAGACAGGTAAATACAGCTGCTGTGGCTGTGATGTCACTGATATCCGTTATTTAATGAGCATCGTCTGTGAAATCTCTGTAGTCTGTTACTGAGATGGATCCAGAAGTCCCTTCTCAGGTCACATGAGCGTTGGTGACTGGATGTGCTTCTGATTTTCTGCCTCTGTTTGACCTTTAGATCATTGTGACGCTGAGCGCCGTGGATTTGGATGAACCTAAGAATGGACATCACTTCCTGTTTTCTTTGGCTGCCAAGGCTGCCTGGAACCAAAGCTTCGTCCTGAGAGACAACAACGGTACAGTCCACCTTAATCAGTATACAGCAAAACTGTGCAGTCCACCTTAAAACCAAAGATAACTTCAATGAAACAGAGCAGCTCTGTGGTGTACATGGACCAGCCTGAATTTAAGGTTTAACGCCTCCTGTGTCAGTGATGTTGTGGCTGGTAGTCACATTGGAACCTGTCACTCATTGGTTCATGAGGAAAATAAGGGGATCACTTTAGTGCTGCAACAGTGAATTTTATGTTAACAAGCTGACGTCATGCACCGCCTGTCCTTGTTGTTCACTGGTGGCTACCTGCACTGAAACAGGATCCGCCCGTTAGCCGTAATATTCCCTTTGGAGACACTTTGTGAGTGAGGACTGTGTGGAGGACAGCCCGTTTGAGTTGTGTGACCTGTCGGTTCAGCGGACCGCCCGGTTGGTGTCCCACGTTGTCTCGTCTGTGTGTGTTTGTCCCTCGTGGTTTCAGCGAACACACTGAGCGGTGCCATCTCTTTCTAACCCATTACCACAAAGCAAAAACCTTCACAGGATCTCCAGCTGCCAATCATCCATGAGCTTCTCGCTGTAGCTCCTCCCACACGTTTTAGTTCTTTGCTTGGCATGGCACCCCCTTAAATAGCACTCTGTGTTCCACCTTAAAAGCTGCTGGTGATGACGTCGATCTGTCTGTCTGTCCTCAGACAACACGGCGTCTGTCCTGACGTGGCGGGCCGGGTTCCTGCAGCGGGAGCGGCCGCTCTACTTCCTGCCGGTGGTGATTTCAGACTGCGGGACTCCGCCTCTCAGCAGCACCAACACGCTGACCGTCACCGTCTGCGAGTGCGATCTTCATGGAAATCGTCGCAGCTGCGTCCAGGAGATGTCAGCGCTGCTGCTGCCAGAAGGCCTCAGCCTCGCCACTGTTGTCCTCCTCACCGGTCTCCTCACACTGCTGGGTATGACCTGAGACAAAGTCGCGCCTCTTCAAGTTAAACTCAGTAAAGTCAGAAACAAGAAGTAGAACCTGGTTGGCTTAGAGCTGATCCAGAACCTCTGTCCATGAGGTAGAATAAAAAAACTAGCTGAAGCTGGAGTAGATCATCAAACTGATGAAACTAGAACCAAATCTGAAGTCACCTGAAAGCAGCGAGCTTTTAGTTTTTCTCCTGTTTTTTTATTTTATTGGGTATATTTTATGCTTGTTTTTTATTATTTAGTTCCAGTGTAGAGCATTTTGTGTCAGCTGTGGAGTGCTCTATAAATGATGATGACTTCATTGGGACACTGACGGGCTCAGCTTTCACGTGTCTGCCAGGAACATTACCCCGACCCGCTGTTCTCAGCGTCACCTGTACCATCTTGTCAGGGTTTGGTGGGGTCTGTGAAAACGATCGAATCAGCTGCCAGTCAGACGCTGCATAAGAAAACCTGTAGTGGTCTTTGGAGAATTTCTGACATAGAAAGGGTTACAACAGACGACCTTTTAATGTAATAGTTTAATTGTGAATTTTGTCTGTTTGTCAGCTCGTCTCTATGGAGATGGGTTTGGGGGGTAGCAGGAGGAGAGAAGCTGCAGAGAGGCGTGTAAGACTGCAACTCTGCTTCCTGGTCCCAACTCTGGATAGTCATATTTTGGGGGGTTTAATAAATTTGTCCATATTTCTAGAAATAAGAGCTGCTCCATCCAAAGTGGGATGGATGCAAGACCAGGTTTCCTCCAGAAGGCTTGCCAATTATCTATGAAGATAGCTGGAAGCTGTTCGTTGGTCTGTAGCAGGGAAGCAAACAACTCTACCAGTGCAGAGAACAACAACAAATATCACACAAGGAGTAAAGTAGGATTCTGATATTGTGTGTGTGGAATTCTGAACCCATGTCATCTTCAGGAAGATGAAAACTTCCACATCCAGGGTCGTGTTGCAGAACTTCATTTAAAATTACTTGACTTTGCCGCCATCACCTCTGCCTTGTAAACTTTTTAAGATGACTCCACCCCTTCGTCTGCCCTTAGGTGTCGCTATGGTAACAGGGGCCATCAGACGCAGAAGGAAGGAGCCTCTGATTATTGACGATGAGCGAGATGTTCGTGAGAATATTGTTTGTTATGACGATGAGGGCGGTGGCGAGGAGGACACCGAGGCCTTCGACATGTTCACGCTGAGACACCTGAACGAGACCAAACGGAGCTACCATGTCACCGCCCCTGAGCCCCCGCCATCCAGGGAAGATAAACACCAACTGTTCCAGGAGTTCATCGAGGACCGGCTCCGGGAGGCCAACCTGGACATGACGGCACCACCCTTTGACTCTGTGCAGACGTACGCTTTGGAGGGCAGCGGGTCAGCTGCTGTGTCGCTGAGCTCGTTTAGCTCGTTAACCTCGCTGGAGTCGGAGCAGAGCTACCACTTCCTGAGTGAGTGGGGGCCAAAGTTTCGGAAGCTTGCAGAACTCTACAAAGACCGCGAGGGAGGTGGTGCCTCATAGAGTGCACGCCTTGCGGCAACAGGTGTGTGGTCTGTTTAGCCCATATGAACTGGATTAGTCCTCACACCAGGAGCTCTGAGCACCCTGAACCAGAGCAGAACCTGTAGAAGTACCGGCAGCTGGACCTGGAACCAGCCAGCTCGAGCTTGAGCTGCCTGACTGGACCTTTACGTAGTTACTGTGAAATATTTCCTGCTGTTGCTATTTCACAATAAAAGCTTGCCAGTGGTGCTGCTTTTATTTTGTAAGCCTGAATGTGTAACAACAGAAATAAAACTGAATTTATGAAAACTGCAGCTGCTGTTTTTACTGCTGTAACACGTCCCAAACGCTCAGCCTCTCCATGCTGACGTCGTCCTGTGAAGTATGCACAACTCTGAATTTGGAGGAAAAACTTTTCAGCAAAATTTTTTTTAGTTTGTGACTCACTTTGATTTTTTTTTTTTAAGATTCTGATGAGTCCAGACTGAACCACTGATGGTTCTTCACGTGTGCTCACGTGTGACAGGCTTAGTGGGCGGGGCACAGAGATGCTTTCCACCATACAAAAAACATCTGGTATGTTAAGTGGAAAGAGTGTTTGCTGTCCACTGAAACTGAAATGAGTGACTGTGAGTCGCTGCTGGAACAAACCAAGTATTACAGATATAATGCATCTTTTTTTTTACCTCCAACTTTATTTCAACAGAAACTTTTAACGACCACCAGCATCATACAACTGTAGTGTAAAATTATCATACAGACAAAGATGGGTGTGTATAATTAAACACATAGAAAGAAATACCGATTAAAGGGGAAAAACAGTGAGAGATACAGTGACACCAAATAATTAAATAAAGACATTAAAAATATTACAAATATGAATGGTTTTCAAAGTTTTCTTGTAGTGAGGAACAAATTGTAGATTTCTGTTTCTGTGCTGAAAGTCTGAGAACTTCAGATGAGCGAGTCTCTCAGTCAGTCGTTTTGATCAGACGCCGTCAGAAACGAGCGACTTGTTTCCACGAGCCCGGAGTAAAGCTAAATGTTTCTATATCGCTCTCATGGGTTTAGAGGAAGCTCCAACAGGGTAAAACGAAATGACGTCAGTACTCCAACGAGGCGGAGCATAATCACGTGATTGAAGAGGCGCGCGGAGCTGCAGCGGGCCCGCGCGGGGGCGCTGCTCCTCGCAGACATGAACGCCACAGACGAAGAAGAAGAGCCGGATGTTCCGGACCGTGTGAGGTGGCTGCCGAAGCGATCGGGTACCCGGGTCTCTATGGTCTCTGTAGCCGGATCCAGGAGCGGGTCCTCGGGGATGGGGCTCCTGCTGGTCTGCTTGGCCCTGCTGGTCTCCGCGGTCCCCCCTCTTAGCGCATGGGACGAGGACCTGGAGCTGCTGGACCTGGTGGAGGAGATCCCGCAGACCTTCTACCAGTTCCTGAACGTGGAGCAGGTCCGTGCCGAGCCGGGTCTGGTTAACTCTTGTCATAATGAAAGATTATTGCGACGATCACAGCTGATAGATCCGTTAGAGAAGGTGATCGATAATCAGACCAGATGTTACCTGATCATGTGTTTTTTTTAACCTGATCAATAGAACCTGCAGCAGGTGGAGCCAGGTGGGTGGGGAGGCTGTTATTGGTCCGTTATTGGTTGCTTATTAATGTAATGCTGTGTTTCTGAGCATGTGCAGTTCGCACAGCAGCAGGTTGCTCTGTGATGCAGACGGCGTCGGACTCTGACATCAGGCGGCGTTGAGCTGCTCAGAGGAAGTTGGTGTTTTTAAGGGCGATGAAAAAACCACAATGACTCTTCTTCTTCTTTTAATAAACGGGCTGAAGAGGCCTTCTCTGATTGGTCAGCAGGTGCCTTCATCTAGCTTTGACTGATTCTAATGCAGGTGCTCAACACCTGTGACATCACAGGAACCCTGGTGGGAATCAGCTGCGAGAAAGTAAATGTTCAAATAAAGACGAGTCACAGGAAGTTCATCATATGCAGGTTTTCTCTTAGTTATCTCAAATGCCATCAGAGATGATGTCTGTGGCCACGGTGGTTGTCCGCCGTCTCCGTTAACCCGGGCTCTCTGCCACAGGCTCCGAGTGCCGCCGCTGTGTTTCCTGAGCCCCGTGACAGAGACTCAGCAGCAGATCAGCGTCGTGTTCTACACCATCACACGGGCCTTCATTCACTGCTGTCAGAGCAAACATCACCTGGTCTCAGGTGTCCAATGCTGACCTCTGACCTCTGTCTCTCTTCAGGAGGCGTCGGGAGCAGAGATAAAGAAGGCGTACCGCCGTCTGTCCCTGATTCTGCACCCCGACAAGAACAAGGACGAAAACGCAGAGACACAGTTCAGACAGGTGGGAACAACGACAAACAACAACAACCTTAAACACAACAGCAGCACAAACGACACTCGTGAGACCTGATGACTGTTAGCATGTGTGTCTTTGCAGCTGGTGGCCATCTATGAAGTCCTGAAGGATGAGGAGAGGCGCCGCAAGTGAGTGTTTACATCTGTTTACGTCAGTCAGTGAGAGCCCATCAGAGCTTGGCGTTCTGACAGGTGTGTGACTCCTCAGGTATGATGACATCCTGCTGAACGGGCTCCCTGATTGGAGGCAGCCGGTGTTTTACTACAGACGGGTGAGGAAGATGAGCAACGTCGAGCTGGGCTTCCTCCTTTTCGTCATCCTCACCGTGGGGCACTACGCCGTCATTTGGTCCATCTACCTGGAGAAACAGCTGGTGAGTTGGCCAATCAGAGCGAGGTCATGGTATATCTGCTGCAGCCAATCCGAAAGGAGCAGATAGAAATAGCCAATGAGGGCCGGTCTTCTGTCTGCAGGATGAGCTGCTAAGTAAGAAGAAGAAGGAGAAGAAGAAGAAGCTGAACTCCAAACCTGCAGAGGAGCTCAGGTGTGTCAGTCAGGAGCGGGCTGACAGGTACGGTGTGACATCATCACCTGTGGAGTTCCTTTGTGTGTGTCTGATGTGTGTGTGTGTGTTTCAGAGACCAGGAGCGACCTCATTGGCAGGACATCCTCCCTCTGAAGCTCAGCATCTGGATCTACCTGTCCATTAAGAACCTCCCCCAGGCCGTGCAGGTAAGAGTGGGCTGGTCTCCTCAGTAAGCCATAGCCACAAGGCCTCTGCCTATCAGGACGTGAGGGGGCGCGGGTATGGCAGCAGTCTGGGCCAATCACAAAGCTAGATGTAATTAGAGCGACTGCAGACTGAGCAGCGCTGAGGAAGGAAAAGCTCCACTATAACAATAAAGTTTGGCCTGTTTGAATCCACAGCTGTGAGATGTGCCCACACTGATCAGGGTCACATTTGTGATCTGAGGGATTCTTTAAAGTTTAACGCTCTGGATTCAGAGCAGATCTGATCCCAGCTCAGCCGGTGTTTTAGGACCAGAACAATTAAACTGTAGCAGGATCGTGTCAGATGCTTCACACCCTAATGCTCTAACCACAGTGGGATCTTCCAGGAATGATGACACTATTTTCCAGTGATACGATTGGTCGATGAAACCCCGTCAGAGATGACGACCGTCAGCACAGAACCAGCTGAGCCCCGAGGGCCCTCCTGGGCTTCCTGCTGAAATCAATGGAGTGTTTCTCTGCAGTTACAAAGCTGTAAATATCACAGCAGATGTTACGGTGTCAAAGAGGCTGGGACACAGGAAAGTAGGTCGCCTCATTGATTTTTGCATTTTATTGCATAGAGCCTCTTTGAAAATATGCTTCAGTCGACAGTAAATATATTCATCATCTGTGCAAAGATTTGTGCTGTGAAGCAGTGAGAGATCACTGTTGATGATAACCAGGCGTTTGGCACATCTGTCAGTTACATTTAGAGATGAAAGCAGAAATGATGGAAGTTTATTTACACACCTAAAAATATTTGGTTTGAGTGTTTGTCAAGAGTCGCCTCCACTCTCAGGTACACCTTTTCCATTTAAAGTCTGAGCGGCTGTAACTCTGGCTTCTATTGGCCGATTTGCATGATTGACACCTCTTTTTAATCGTTGAGCCAATAGAATCACGGTATCGTTGTCGTGTTTACGTCAGTTCCATCAATCAGAAGTTGCAACACGAAAAGTACACGTGTTACTAAAGTTAAGATCCTCGTCCAATCAAATGTCTGTAACTGGGCAGAAAACTGGATTTTTTTTTTTAACAGGAAACGGCTTTGAGGCATTGTGGGAGATTGAGTTATTAAGGAAACAAGCTGGATGTTTATTCTGTGAAAGCAACAGGAAAAGTCTGACTTCGTGTTATTATCGAGCGGTCTGCTTCTGCAGCTGGTTCGGTAAATCTTCGTTGGAGCGTGACGAAACTCGCAGTGTAGGAATCTGTGAAATCTCTGCTTTCAGAAAATGTACTGTTCGCTCGGGTAGTTCGTGCTATCGAGGCTCTGTTCTGCTTGTTTATGGACATTTCATGAAATGATGTGACCGTTAACTGTTTGTTGTTTTCGCTGTTTGGTGTTCGTAGAAACAGTTTATACGAGCTTGTAGCTGAGATTCAGAGGTTCCTGTGGATGCCACACACGCCGGGACTTACACAGCCTGTAACTCCTGTTACAACCGATGTAACGGGAACACACCCTCGGTACCGGTACGCTTTGAGCTGGTTAATGTGGCGATCTTTGGCACAGAGCGGGAAAAGGTGACGGCTGCAAGATAGAGCTGTATCCATGGAAATATGAAAGCTTCCTGTCCCACAGCCTGATGACGTAGCAGTGGAAATCCCTTCTGGTCCCGGCTCTGGTGCTTCTGGTTCTGACCCAGTCTCTCTGTTGCAGGAGGTGAAGCAGTACTATGAGGACTATCAGCAGATGAAGCAGGAGCAGAGAGAGGCTGAAGCTGAGCAGGAAGTGGCTCCACGTAAGAACAGCTGATCAATAATCAGTTTTCAAGCTGCCTGTTTGCCTTCAGAGTGATCAGTAATCAATCAGTAATCGCTAACCCGTCCTCCTAGGAGAGAAGCGGCCGAAGGTAAAGAAGCCGAAGGTGGAGTTTCCCATTTACGAGCCATCGGCAGAGAACCAGAACCACACCCAGAGCTATGACCCGACCACATCTATCGAGGACATCGAGGAGCAGATGGATGACTGGCTGCAGGACCGCAGAGCCCCCAAGAAGAAGGTTATTGATCGCGTATTGATTGCTCACATCAGGTGTTAAAGAGGACCTGTTCTGGTTCTGTTAAACGCGATCCAGCCTCTGTGAACGCTCTTTGTCTGTCCTCAGGCTGCCGATTGGACTGAAGACGAGCTGAGCCTCCTTAGCAGGTTGATGGTAAAATTCCCAGGTGGGACTCCGGGCCGCTGGGAGAAGATTGTTCATGAGCTGGGTCGATCTGTCAGCGATGTAAGTGTGTTTGGTCTTCACTCTGCTGTGAAGGCTGTCCTGTCATCATCTTCTCCAATCAGTTCAGTTCAATTCAGTTTTATTTACACATAAATCACAACAGTCACCTCAAGGCGCTTTATATTGTAAGGTAGACCCTACAATAATACATACAGAGAAAAACCCAGCAATCATATGACCCCCATGAGCACTATGAGCAACAGTGGGAAGGAAAAACTCCCTTTTAACAGGAAGAAACCTCCAGCAGAACCAGGCTCAGGGAGGGGTGGGGGGAGGAAGATGTGCTGTGGAAGAGAGCCAGAGATGAATAATCACTAATAATTAAATACAAAGAGGCGTCATTTAACAGGGACATACTCTCCTGGACCTTCTCTGCTTCCTGTAACAGAGTCTGTTTCTTCTACAGGTGACGGCTAAAGTCAAACAGATGAAAGACAGCGTGAGCCACACCTCAGGTAACTCCGCCCACCTCCAGCTTGCCTTCTGGACAAAAATGTCGCTGCAGTTCAACGTCGATAAACTTTCCAGGTCGCGTTTCTGTGGCGTAGCTTTGATTACTGATTACCGTGAACAAAGTTTGTAGATGACCAAATAAGACGCTGTAAAAATATGTTGTTACATTTTTGACACCAGTAATAATGTCAGTCGTTTCCATATGTGTCCAAGTTCCTTATAGGACAGTCACGTTCTACTCTTTGGTTCTACTGTCGGTTCTGTCCGGTTACATCAGTCGTACTCCGATTCTCTCGTGTTTCAGGTCTGGTAAAGCTGTCGGAGCTAAAGGCGCCTCCTCTTCCTGTGAAGTCACATAATGTGGACGACAGCATGATGACTCAGAGGGAGGGCGAGGCTTGTGAGGAGGAACAAGAGGAGGAGGTGGAGGCACCGACGGTTCGCAGGAGGAACAGGAAGTGTTCGGATGGGGGGGGGGTGAAGGTCAGAGGTCGTCGGCAGAGAGATTTTGACCCGGCGACGGTGGACGAGGAGGAGGCGGAGCCTCAGGCGGAGCCCACCGTGTGGACTCAGAACCAGCAGAAACTGCTGGAACTCGCTCTGCAGCAGTTCCCTCGCGGGACGCCCGAGCGCTGGGACCGCATCGCCAAGGTGGTCCCGGGAAAGAGCAAGGTGAGGTGGGGGCGGGCGAACTTTCGACAAGCGATTGAGAAGCGATCAATAACTTTTATTTTTTTTATTTATTTATTTTTTAGAAAGAGGGGCAATACATATTAATGAACATTTTAACAAATGTAAATATGCCAGATTATAGCCTTGGGCTAATTTGCATCTGCAGACCCTCTGGCAGGTTGGTGTTAAACACAAGATAGTAAAAACATACAGAGACACTATTTACAGATCATGTGACAAGGACAAAAACAGTGATCACATTATACTAGAACAAACAATGACAAGGAGAGTGGACACAGAGGACAATATAGATAACAATAACGGAAACACATCAATTATATTGCACAAACCCCAGTATTGCACATGCCCTGACCATCGTGATATTGTGTTCACCCATTGCACTAACAGTTGTTTCCCTTTTTGTAATACACTAACTCTTTTTCACGTCCAATATAAAACATGATTATTAAACATGATCACATGTTTGTGTGTCCCTCAGCCGCCCTTTTAAGTGACTCTTAAAAATGGGTAGACTTGTACTTCCCTCACTGACAGTGGAAGACTATTCCAGAAGCTCACTCCCTGATATGACAGAGCATCTGTGAAAAGGTGGTCCGCCTGAGTGCCAGTTCACAATCACCTCTAACAGTGGCTCGAATCAGTCGAGACCCAGCAACACTGCTAGACTTTTGTTTAATAAAATCACTCATTGGTGGAGGCGCCAGACCATGTATAACTTTGTATATTAGACAGGCAGATTTAAATAATTTGAAATTAGTAAAATTTAAAAACTTGTATTTTTCTAAAATTTGACAATGGTGACTGACGGATTGTGTGTATCGATTACAGGAGGAGTGCATGATCCGGTATAAGATCCTCGCTGAGCTCATTCAGAAGAGGAAACAAGCCAAGAGCTGATGCAAGGTTATGACTCCACCCCCTCTAGTCAGGTGACCTTCTGCTGCCTCCTGATTGGACAGAATCACAGCACTTAGAGGATTGGACAACGAGGCGACACACACACAGATAACTGATCAGAATATTGATTAGACGTTCTTCCAGACTGAGCATGCTCATAGCATTGATCAGAAATTCTGTGTGATATCAATTGACTGATCGATATTCTGATTTGTGATCATCAGTCGGTCACGCCTTTGCTTTTGGGCCCCACCCTCTGCTGTGTGTGTGTGTGCGTGTGTGTGCGTGTGTGTGAGAAACAGGAAGTGACCTCGCAGTCTGATGTGCCTTAATCTCTCTTCAGCCAATCACGTGTTTACTCATCAATAAACAGTATTTATTAGCTGCCTGTTTGTTTTTCTTTGACTGAAATATTTACAATAAAACCTTGTTTCGTATTTATTGATTGTCATCGGCACTGATCAGCTCATGAAATAAACGTCTGATTTCTTTTCCTCTTTACCTGTGGTCAATAGTTTGAGTTCTGCTCTTTAACACGTTTTTTAAATATTGATCAAACTCAGTTGATAATGTTGTATTACAATATTATTTTATTGATCATTTTCACAGATCAGTGCCCTGTACATGCTGAAGTGATCAATAAGGTTATGCTTATTCAATTCCACCGTCAGGCCGCGGTCTGTCTGTGTGTGGTTAACATGTTCCCGTGTCTGAGTGGCTAACTGCCCACAGGTGTGAATGTTTGTCTTCCTCTCTGTGCTAGCAACACCTGACCAGGGTGTTTCTACCTAAGACAGCTGGGATAGGCTTCAGCCGCGAATCAGAATGGATGGATGCATATTTCCATGGTAACCAGGTAACCAACTGACAAAGAAATGAAGCAGCAGGAAGCGCTGTGGAAAGTACAGCGTTTATAGAGATTGACAGACCACGTGACTTTCGCGCATTGCATTGTAGGTACGAGTGGCAACAAAATCAAAACACTGCATCAAGCGCTAGCACCGGTAATCACCTGGGATCACATCCATAACAGCAGCAGTGACCGGAACCTGGTCTGTGCAAGCCTCTCTTATTACGAGCTCTTATTTTCTATTTAAGGTTTGAACTCCGCCTTTGTTCTGAAAATCCTGCCGGAAGCGGCCGGGTTCTTCCTGCCAGCTGAGCAGAGCCGCAGAGGAAAAAACTGCTGTCAGTTAGCGTTAGCATTAGGCTCGCAGGTAGCACATTTCTGCCGCGCACACGTCACTGCTGCCGTAAGTAACGTCAAAGTTTCCTTTTAGCTTCTGGACTTTTTTTTAAAATATATATATATATATGAATTACGTCACAGATCAACGTTTAATACCGGGCTGACGTCATGTTAGCATCATAGCTAACGTTCAAAGGTATGCGAGTTTGTACAGGTGAGTTCATACCTGTACAAACTTCAGCTTTAAGGGTCGAGTAAAGGAAAACCCAAAGCTGTCCAATCAGAGCACCTCAGAAATATCGCCTGCATTCAGATCACGTGGGTAGCTTCAAGAAGAACAAGCCGCACGGTCCAGGTCAAAGGTCACGGGACAGCGATCAATTATCAGTAGTGAATAGACCGGATCAGCAGCGTGTGTGATATAAACACCTGTGTAAGCAGCATGCAGCAGCTGTACAACAGCTGACGTCATCAAACTTTCCTGACCTCTGACCTTTAGAAAGAGCTCTGTGAGTAACGCTTACAGTACAGTATAGATGGGTTAGTCACGAGGTGAGGAAGAATTTGGAGAACTGCCCGACCTTTGATGGGGTGATGCTGAAGGCGCGACCCTGCAGAGGGTTCATGTTTGTTCAGGTTAGCTGAAGTCGACAGATGTGTCTCAATTGTGACGTGGTCGGAGAGCTGCTTCGTTCATTGTAGTGTTTGAATAAGAGGACAACGTCATCAGACTTCATGTGTAATCCACTCAAAGGGTAGAGTTGGGATTATGGCAGCAGTACAAGCTCTGTGCCCCAAAGCTAGGTCTGCGTATCGCTGGTTTCTACAATCTGCAGTTCTGATTCACAAGGTCCTCATTCAATTTAGCCTCAGACAGAAATATTATAATTCATTTATCAGTTATATCCATGTATACAAACAAACCTGTGAGACTTCATCAGAGGTGTGAGCATCACAGCTTTGTGTCAAAGTAACTGAGGATAAAACATGAAGCAGATGTTCCTGGCCTGGCTTTTTATAGCAGATGACCTTAAAATATTCTGCAGTAGAACAAAAACTGAAGAAAACCATGAATCAACATGTGAAAATGAATTGGTGCTGCTGAAGGGAAGCAAAGTTACAGAGGTTTGATTACAGACACAGCTGAGCAGTCATTGAGGTTTACGTGTGTTCAGTACTGTAGAGCAGAAATGGGGCTGTGACGTCAGAGGCCGACACACTGAACACAGCAGCAGACTGGTTCATGATGATAGCAGAGCTTTGATGGTAAACTGGTGTGTGAGCACACTGAGAGAGAGAGAGAGCTGTAGGGCTGTGCGATATGACCAAAATCTCATATCCCGATATAAAACATCTATCGTCCGATAACGATATAAATCACAAAAATGTAACATTTTCTGTAAATTCTGTGAATCTCGGGCAGCTCGACTTGCGTGAAGTGTTTCCAGCTGGGCTTCTAGAGTTGAGTGTTTTAACCGATGCATGAAACGATACATTTTTAGACATAAGTTGCAACGGCCGCCATTTTCTTTGTGATTATTTATTACACGGCGTGCTGCGGGGAAAAGCCTGTTCTAACATTTGAGTCTAAGGTTTATTTTTTTAGCACCTGGCGACTCTTTTTTTTTTTACTTCTCATCCGTAAACACTCTGCATCTTTCACGTGATTCAGTTTATTTTGAAAAGTCTCAACAGGATCTTGAGCTTTATTGTGAAAGGTGTATGTGGAAAATAAACAAGCGGACACGCGATGGTTGTACCGTTGTTGTTGCTAACGACAACGCATAAAAACAAGCGCTTGTCTGTCTGTAGGGTGGTTATATTAAATATAAGAGAAAGAGAGAACTTTAAGAAATTAATATAGCCTCTACAGTGACATCAAAGCCATGAAAAAATATTACTGTAAACAGTTTATTTTGCGACACCACGAAACAAACGATAGCATAAAACGAGAGATGTTTTTATATCATCATCCGATATATATCGTTATATCGAACAGCCCTAGAGAGCTGTGCAGGAAGTCAGAGCCAAAGTCCGAGGGGATGAATAAGGATGTTTGAAGCGTACTTTGGATCTTCTTTGGCTGCTGGTTCAGTCAGTTTAGCTCAGCGTGAGGAAACCTGCAGAATCTGTCAGATGTCGACTTTCAGCCCGTCTGTGAACGTCTTTGTGTGGAATGCGTGTACCTGCTGTTTGCTGTTGTTGAAGTAGTTTTGTGAGCTTTAAGCTGAGAATCAAAATACATTTAAAACTGATTCAATGAGTCGATGTCACAAAAACAAACTAAAAATTTTTACTTTTAAACCCACTGTCCCCAACCGTGACAGGCGGTGAGCGTAGAAGGATGGTGATATCAGTGCTAGGTGAAACGAGGCGGAGCAGGTGGTGTCTCGTCAGACGGGCGCCGTACAAAGGTTTTGGGTGTAAACAGAGAGTGAAATAAACACTTACGATGACGTCATAAAACAGGTTAGACTGGGTTTAGTCACTGGCTACCTGACTTCCTGTCACTGCAGGTGATCTTCCTGACCTGTGCAGGTGAATCGGGAAGATGCACTTTGAATGATTCGTTTGGAGTCGTTATCTTGGCTACAAACAGGAAGTGACCTCTCTGATACGCTCTTTGTCCTCAGGTGTCCTCAGGTGTGATGCAGATGCCATGTCCCTGCAGGCTGTGCTCCAACAGAGGATTAGCTCTGCCCAGCAGCTGCTGCAGCGGGCGGAGACGCTGTGTCTGGGTGTCGAGGGTCACCAGAAGCTGTGTGGGAAGCTGCGAGCCGAGCTGCGCTTCCTGCGGCGGGTGGAGGCAGGAGAGGTGCACGTGAAGGAGTCTCACCTGCACAGCACCAACCTCACCCACCTGACAGCCATCGTGGACTCTGCACAGAGTCTGGATGACATCACAGCGCTGCTGCACGTCTTCACCTACCAGGACTCTGCCGGGCACCGCCGCACCCTGGTGGTTGACGTGGTCGCCAACGGGGGACACACTTGGGTGAAGGCAGTGGGCAGGAAGGCAGAGGCTCTTCACAACATCTGGCAGGGGCGGGGCCAGTATGGCGACAAGAGCATCATACGGCAGGCCGAGGACTTCCTGCAGGCAAGCCCCCAGCAGCCTGTACACTACTGCCACCCGCACGTCATCTTCGCCTTCTACAACGGCGTCTCCAGCCCCATGGCTGACCACCTGCGGGACATGGGCGTGTCCGTCCGCGGTGACATCGTGGCTGTGAATGCTGTGGCAACTGAGGAGGAGGAAGAGCAGCACCAGGAGGAGGAGGAGGAACAAGCTGAGGAAGACGAGGATGGTGAGGTGGACGAGGAGGAGGAGGACACGTCAGAGCTCACGCGGGTTGACCGCGGCACAGTGGTGGCCAGCCTGGCGTTCCCAGCACAAGTGCATGTGGAAGAGTGCCGGCGGGTGAATCTGGACATCACGACACTCATCACATACGTGTCATCTCTCAGCCACGGCCGGTGCCACTTTGCTTTTAGGGAGCATGTGCTGACAGAGCAGGCCACCCAGGAACGCCGCCAGCAGGTGCTTCCGCAGCTCGACGCTTTTATGGAGGGCAAGGAATTGTTTGCCTGCCGTGCCGCCGTCCACGACTTCCAGGTCATTCTGAACACGCTTGGCGGGCCTGGTGAGAAGGAGCGCGCTCAGAAGCTGCTGGCCCGTCTCCACGTGGTGGATGACCAGCCGTCGGAGCGCACTCTGCACCTCACGCCCAGTGCAAAGATCAACCGCCGTTCACTCATGATCTTTGGCACCGGAGACTGGCTGAGGGCCGTTACCATGACAGCAAACAGCCGCTTTGTGCGGGCGGCAGCCAATCAGGGCGTCCGGTACAGCGTGTTCATCCACCAGCCAAGAGCGCTGACCGAGGGCAAAGAGTGGAGGGCCACACCCGTCTGAGGCCACGCCCACAGTTGACTCATCTGCGGCAGACGGTTTCAATCAATCAGGCTAATCAGACATCAGTGTCAATAAAGCTTGGGTTTAAATTAAAGTTTACATTGTGGAGAAAAAAGGTTTAGTTCAAAGAAAGGAGAGAAAAATGGAAAACTTTAGTTTGAGTCTTTGTGTGGTCACGTGCCGCTTAAACTTCCTGTATATGTATCTGCTCAATAAAGTATATGTACTGATCAATTCACTGAAACCACGAGCCTTTTTAAATAAAGTAACCCTCCAG